CGCTATGTGGTTTCGGTATGTGTTTCTCGACGGTGGTGCTGGATGCATTGGCCGCTGCGCGGTCCTGGGGGAGCCGTCGGTGGGGCCCTTCAATTATTCGGGAGCGCGGTCTTGTCGACCATATATGACCTTCCCACGGCTTGCGGTGTGTCCCGCCACCGTGCTTGGATTGTGGGTCTGAGGCCGCTCGGATGTCTGGTGGGATCTTGGGGCAGGCTGAGAGCGTCTTGGGGCCGACGGTTCGACAAGTTGCGTTCCGGGTTCTCTCTTTTGGAGCCGTCTTGGGGTCTTCTTGGGCTGTATTGGATCCTTGTGCCGTCTGAAGGGCATTGTGGGCGTCTTGGAACAGGATGCGTCTGGGGAATCGTCCTGGGCCGGGGGGGGGTCCAATTCACAGTTGGGGGTTCCGGGGGACGGATTTGTTTGGGAGGGGGAAGCATCCCACACGCCCAGAGACTCACGAGGGGTCGGCGGATTTGTGTATCTATTTCTGGTTCACTGCCGTCCTGCCCCTGAGCAGGCGCCCCTCCCCCCCCTCTTTTCCCTCCCCCCTCTGACCCAGGACCAACAACTGTGCCCCGGGATTGTCGAAGTCGCCCCGAGCGGCTGCCAGAGGCTGGAGTTCCTGTCTGCTTGTGCAGGGTGGGGGGCCTTGAAAACAGCACACACAGAGGGTCCAGGAGGGTGGGGATGTCAGACGTGGTGGATGCGCGGTGAAGGGCCCGGCGCCTGTTTGTGTAGGGTGGAAGGCTTTCAAACAGCACACAAAGAGCGTCCAGGAGGGTGGGGATGTGAGACGTGGCGGGTGCGGGGTGGGGGTCCCGGCGCCTGTTTGTGTGGGGTGGAGGCATCTAACATGGCACGCAAAGAGCGTCCAGAACATGGGGATGTCAAACGTGGTGGGTGCGGGATGGGGGTCCCGGCGCCTGTTTGTGTGGGGTGGAGGCATCTAACATGGCACGCAAAGAGCGTCCAGAACATGGGGATGTCAAACGTGGTGGGGGCGCGGTGGGGGTCTCGGCGCCTGTTTGTGCAGGGTGGGGGGCCTGTAAAACGGCACACAAAGAGCGTCCAGGAGAGTGGGGATGTCAGACGTTGTGGGGGCCGCAATGGGGGTCCCGGCGCCTCTTTGTGCAGGGTGGGGGGCCTCTTAAACAGCGCACACAAAGAGCGTCCAAGAGGGCGAGGAGGGTGGTGGGAGTCTCGGCGCCTGCTTGTGTAAGGTCGGAGGCCTCCAACACAGCACACGAATGGCGTCCAGGAGCGTGATGATGTCAAACGTGGTGGGGGCGCGGCGGGAGCGTTGGTGAGGAAGGGTGTGGTGGTCAATGTTGGTGTAAGTGGCGGCCAGGAAAGTGTAATGCACGAGGTGCCATCCCACACGCCTCCGGGGTCGGCGGAGTTGACGGTCTTGGGCGCCCGAGGCGGACTACCGGACGTTGGCATCGTGGACAAAGCAGCCGTCTCGCGATGTTCGTGATGCCGGATATCTGGGCCCTCCAATCAAGCTTCCCTGAAGATCAATTTCGCCCCTTTCCCCCCCCCCCGCCCCGAAGCGCGCTTCTGACCAGACTCTGGACGTGATTCTCGCCGTTGCGATTTTGATTTTCTCCTGGAAACCCGAAGAGGTGGGAGCAGCTCTTGCATTTGTTCTGTGACTCTTGTACGACGGCGTCGCCGTCGTCGTCCCTCCGCTGCCTCTTCTCCACTCCCTTCGCCTGCGCGCGTCCGGCAGATGTCTCCGCGGCGGTTGCCGTCGTCTTACCGAACGCGTTCTACTACTGCCTACTCGCAAACGTCAGAGAAAAAAACATATATTCCTCGATGTAATGGATTGTAAATCACCCGCGGCGGATCCAGGCCATTTGCGAGTAGTAATTTTGCGAGTGGTGGAACCCGCTTGTCTTTCGTCGCCGTCGCCGTGGCCGTCGTCGTCTCCGCGGAGCCGAGGCCAGCGCCCCGCAGATGCAGCCGAGCCCAATCAGCAACGGCTGGCCCGCCGAGCCGTTTCAGCTGCCGAGCCCCGCGAGCAGCGCCAGCGCCGGCTGGCCCGCCCAGCGGTGCGACGAAGCGCAGGGAGGGGCTGGGGCGTGGACACGGGGCGGGGGCCCCACTCTGCCCTGCGGTCCTCCGCCCTCCCTTGCCCCTTCTCCCTCCGCCCTCCTCCCACCCCTCCTCCTCCTCCTCCTCCTCCTCCTTCCTCCTCCTCCTCCTCCTCCTCCTCCTGCCTGCCTCCTCTTCTCCCCCCCCCTTTCCCTAACACTCATTCCTCGCCACCCCTCCTCCTCGAGAACGGGGGAATGTGGAGTCGCAGGGGTTCAAAAGCGCGCGCGCGAGGGTTTCGCGCTGAGTTCGCGACTGTTTCTGTGCAAACTCTGCTCTGTGTCGTCCTCCTCCTCCTCCTCCTCCTCCGCCCCCTCCTCCTCCTCCTCCTCCTCCTCCTCCTCCTCCTCCTCCTCCTCCTCCTCCTCCTCCTCCTCCTCCCCCTCCCTCTCCCCCTCATGCTACCTCTCTGCCTTTTTTTTTTCTCCAGGCGCCCCCCCCAGAACAAACAAAAACACCTTTAAAAAACAGTGTATTTTTCTTTCTTTTTTTTCTGGGGGGGGGGCGCGCCAGGAGAAAAAAAAAAGGAATGCGACGTGACCACATCTGCTCTCCCCCCTGGAAGGATTCCTATTGGACGCCCCCATAAGAAGGATTCACAGTAAAATCCTCGACAGAAGGGTTCCTATCGAAACCCTCCACTGAATGATTCCTACCGAAATCCTCCACATGTGGATTCCTACGGAAACCCTCCACTGAATGATTCCTACTGAAATCCTCGAATGGCAATGGCAATGGCAATGGCAATGGTAATGGTAATGGTTGTGGTAGTGGTAATGGTAATGGTAATGACAATGGTAATGGTACTGGTAATGGTTACGGTAATGATAGTGGTAACGGGGTAGCGAGGCAATGACAATGGCAATGGCAACGGTAATGGTAATGGTAATGGCAATGGCAATGGCAATGGGAATGGCAATGACAATGGCAATGGCAATGGCAATGGTAATGGCCATGGCAATGGTAATGGTAAGGGTAGAGGTAAAGGTAGAGTTAAAGGTAATGGTAATGGTAATGGTAATGGTAATGGTAATGGTAATGGTACTGGCAATAGCAGTGGTAATTGTAATGGTAATGGGAATGGAAGTGGGAATGGGAACGGGAACGGGAATGGAAATGATAGTGGTAGTGGTAATGGTAATGGCACTGGTAATGGTAATGGTAATGGTTCTGGAAATTGTAATAGTATTGGGAATGGGAATGAGAATGGGAATTCTAATGGTATTGGCAGCGGTAGTATCATGGTAATGGGAATGGGAGTGGAAATGGTACTGGCAATGGTAATGGTAGTGACGAATGGCAATGGTGATGGTAATGGTAATGGTAATGACAGAGGTAATGGTACTGGTACTGGTAATGGTAAGGGTTGTGGTAATGGTAAGGGGGTAGCGATTGGCAATGGCAATGACAATTGCAACGGTAATGGTAATGACAATGGCAATGAGATTGGCAATGGCAATGACAATGATAATGGCCATGGCAATGGCAATGGTAAGTGTAATGATAATGGCAATGGTAATAGTAATGGGAACGGGAATGGGAATGTGAATGGGAATAGGAACGGGAACGGGAATGGAAATGGTAGTGGTAGTGGTAACGGAAATGGGAATGATAAGGGTAAGGGTAAAGGTAAAGGTAGAGGTAAAGGTAATGGTTATGGAAATGATAGTGATACTGGTAATGGTAATGGTAAGGGTAATGGTCATGAGAATGGGAATGGCAATGGAAATGGTACTGGCAATGGTAATGGTAGTGGCTAATGGCAATGGCAATTGCAATGCGAATGGTAATGACAGAGGTAATGGTAATGGTACTGGTAATGGTAACGGTAATGATAGTGGTAACGGGGTGGCGATTGGCAATGGCAATGACAATGGCAACGGCAACGGTAATGGCAATGGCCATGGCAATGGGAATGGCAATGGCAATGGTAATGGCCATGGCAGTGGCAATGGCAATGGTAATGGCAATGTGAATGGGAATGGGAACGGGAATGGGAATGTGAATGGGAACGGGAACGGGCATGGAAATGGCAGTGGTAGTGGTAACGGAAATGGGAATGGTAAGGGTAAGGGTAAATGTAAAGGTAGAGGTAAAGGTAATGGTAATGGTAATGGCAATGGCAGTTGTAATGGTAATGGTAATGGTATTGGGAATGGGAATGTGAATCGGAATGGTAATGGTACTGGCAACGGTAATGGTAGTGGCGAAGGGCAATGGCAATGGCAATGGTAATGGTAATGGTAGTGGCGAATGGCAATGGTAATGGTAGTGGCGAATGGCAATGGCAATGGCATTGGTAATGGTAATGGCAATGACAGTGGTAATGATAATGGTACTGGGAATGGTAATGGTGACGATAACGGTAATGGTAATGGTTTTGGCAATGGTAACGGGGTAGCGATTGGCAATGGTAATGGGAATGGCAACGGCAACGGCAATGGCAATAGCAATGGCCATGGCAATGGTAATGGTCATGGTCATGGTCATGGTCATGGTCATGGTCATGGTAATGGTAATGGTAATGGTAATGGTAATGGGAATCGTAATAGTAATTGGAACGGGAACGGGAATGGAAATGGTAGTGGTAGTGGGAAAGATAATGACAATGGTAATGGAAATGGTACTGGTAACGGTAATGGCAATGGCAATGATGATGGGAATGGGAATTGTAATGGTGATGGCAGCGGTAATGGTAATGGTAATGGAAATTGTGTTGGTAATGGTAATGGGAATGGCAATGGTAATGGTGGTGGCGAATGGTAATGGTAATGGGAATGGTAATGGTAATGGTAACGGTAATGGTAACGGGGTGGCTACTGGCAATGGCAATACCATGGCAATGGCAACGGCACTGGCAATGGCAATGGCAAAGATAATGGCAATTGTAATGGCAATGGTAATGGCACTGGCAATTGTAATGGCAATGGTAATGGTAATGGTAATGGTACAGGTAAAAGTAAAGATAAAGGTAAAGGTAATGGTAATGGTAACGGTAATGTGAATGGGAATGGGAATTGGGATGGGAATGGTAATGGTAATGGTATTGGGAATGGGATGGGAATGGGATGGGGATGGGCGAGATTGAGAGAGAGATGAGAGGAAAACGAGAAAGCGAACAGCAGCATAATGAAGGAACACTGAACTATCGTAATTTTTCGTCTGAAACCCTCAGTGAGCGACTCCACAATGCACCGGGCGACGAGTCCCTCCTCCTCCTCCTTCCGTCCTCCTCCTCTCTACCTTCTCCTCCTCCTCTCCTCCTCCTCCTCTCCTCCTCCTCCTCCTCCCCCTCCTTCCTCCTCGCCACCTCCTCCTCCTCCTCCTCCTCCTCCTCCTCCTCCTCCCTCCTCCTCCTCCTCCTCCTCCTCCTCCCTCCCTCCCTCCCCTCCCTCCCTCCCTCCTCCCTCCCCTCCCTCCCTCCTCCTCCTCCTCCTCCTCCCTCCATCCCTCCCTCCGTAGCCATTTTGGCTGAAGCCGTCCACAGCGGGCGAACCCCCTGTTGCTCAAGCCAGCTCGTGATGTGCAGTAGGGCTGCTGCTTTTGCTGCTGGAGGGGTTCCGCGTGGAGTTTGAGGATGGCTGCGGGAGACCTGCGGGGCCGTCGGCCCGAGCGTGTGTCAGTGGAGGAGTCACTGGGCGAGGGAGTCCGCTGCTAACCTCGCACGATGGCTTCGGCGCGAGCGTTCACTGAAGGCGGATATGGAGCTGGTCAGCAGCGCGACGGACCAGGCCATTGAGGACATCGGCATCGAGTCCTGGATCGACGGCGACACTGTGGAGGCTGCGCGGGAGGCTGGCGGCTTTGGGGCATGCCCTCCTGCTCCACCAGCGGCTCGACGCGGAGCTTGGCCATCATCGTCACCGCCTCGGGGACGCCTTGTGGGAGCTTGCGACCCTCGTGAAGCTGCCCGCGGAGGTCGTCGTCGTCGAGGCGCGGGCCGCCAAGGCTGCAGGCGACAGGGCTCGGCACGAACCATGGGATTGTGGCGGTAGCTTCGGTGGCCATCTGCGAGCGGAGGCGACGGAGTTCTTCCCCGCTGGGGGCCGCTGAGAACCGCTGTCCACGTCATCGAGCCTCCGATGCACTTGCGGCGCCGAGGTGTATTCCCTCTGGGAGGCGTCGGGGCTCGCAGTGCCCCTCGGCCAGTGGGGCAATGATCATCAAGACCCTCTGGCCGCCGACGTGGGCGCCGCGCCTGCGCTGGTTCCTGACTGCAGCGCGGGCGCCAGGCAGCCCTGTGACCAGATGCCGAGCGTGACGGACTCCATGATCAGCGTGTGCGAGAGCGTGGACATGGACTCGGAGGTGACTGGCCGTCGCGTGGCTCATCCTGAGCCGCGGCGAAGTGGTGGTGCGGCGGTGGCGTGCGGCTACCCTTGCGATGCTCGACGTATGGAGTCGGCCGAGGGTGCGGTGGATGCCTCGTGCGCGGTGCAGGGGGAGGCGCGCGGCGGTGCGGCCGCCGAGGAGTTCATGGACACGCAGGTCCCGCTGGCGCCGATGGTGACGGCGTCTCGGAGGCTGTCGCGGTGCCGAAAAGGAAGGGTCGACTTCTGGAGTTGCTGGAGAAGGCCGAGCGTGACGGCACTTCTCCCTGCCATCCCGAGGTCACGGCCCAGCTTCTCGGCCGCAGGTGGCGCTGCTCTACTTCGGCGTCCCCGAGGGCCTCGTCACGGTCGCGGGGTCCAGGGCTGGTCAGGTCCAGCGCTGGCCCCCCGCGGCGCGCACGTGTGTGCACATCTCCGCCACGCCGCCACTTCCTCACCCCCTCCCTCCATCCATCCATCCACGCATCCACCATCCAGCCATCCTCTTCCTCCCTCCTCCCTCCGCCCTCTCTGGACCCTCCTCCCTCCACCCTCCTCCCTCCGCCGCCTTCCGCCTTCCCGCTCCTCGCCGTGGGTGCCCCTGTCGCCTCCGCGCGGGCGCGGGGCAGAGGTCGCCTCCGCCTGCCGAGGCCGTTGCTGTCGAGTAGGACGGTGTCTCGAGGCAGGTGCTCCCCTCCCCCTTGCCACTTCCCTCTCGTGGGATGTAGCCCCTGGGAGATTGAATGCCGCATCGGCGCTGGCATTCTCGCGGCCGATCACCGGCTTCATTTCGATGACTTCGCATTGGCCCCGCTGAACTCCGCTCAATCCCGCCGAATCCCAGCTTAATCCGGCCCGGTTTGGCGCAGTGGCCCGTCCATCGGGCTCCTTCCCTCTTGATCGTTCCAGTGGGGACCTCCCAAGAGTTGCCTCCTGACCACCCCCTTCGCAGGCGATCTTGATCCCCCAGTCCCCGAGCTCCGCCCCAGAAAGTTTGGCCGTTCATCACCACCCACCAAACCACCCCAACCCAACCCGAAGGCTCAGATTTACCCTCGATTTCCACTGGG